ACCCTTTGTCCCTGACCTTGGAGAAAAGAGGCAAGCCATTGAAGGGCAAGCCCCTGAATCCCCACGTTGGCAAGGCGGCAGGTCAGCAACTGGTGGTCGACCATGTCGAACGCAGCCGACAGATCTAACAACAACAGTGCTACCACACCGCCTCGGTCCAGATGCCTTCTGAGGTCGTCAGCAAGAGCGACCAGCACTGTCTCCGTCCCATGTCCCGGGCGGTAACCGGACTGGAAAGGATCTAGGATAGAAGCATCATCCAGAAAGCCCTGTAGCCCTGTATTAGATATGCAAGACAAAGGCTCAAATATCTCTTTTTTAAAACAAAGGATGACACACCAATCTTTGTAGTGCTGATGTGGATATTACAAAGCATAGCAACTAATCACAACTATGCTTTTTTTTACCATTTCTTTTACCTAGGAGATTCTGGTTATATACTTGACAGCCGAAGTCAAACAGGCAACCTCGGCAGGCGCTTATGGCCCATCCACTAAAAAGATGGCAACAACCAGATGCTCAGTACCACTGCATATTCCACATAGCTGCTTCGGACTAACCATTCCATGGCAGGACAGAAGAAAAAAAGAAAAAACACATGGGTGCCTATCTACCAATATGTCCACACTTTCCTTATGACTTCTAAGCTACTGCCAAGGGTTCTAAATGGGTCTCTGCATTTTCAGTTGCTCTCCAGAGTCATGCCCTCCTATTCTTCATTCATACAACATCTAGGAATGAAGACCCCAAAAGCTATGTCCGTGCCCCATTCAACATCAGTGACCAATCAAAGTGTCATACAGCATGATAATGCCTGCATGACTTGGCTGGCTAGAACCATTAGTCAAATGCGGTTAGCGATTCTAGGAGCACTAAACACACCCAGTATGTTTTGTTCACCCACTTACTAAACCTGGAAATAAGGAAGCCACTTCGGCTTTGCTTGGCTCCCTGATTTGTCACATACCTTCATGGGCGATACCATAGCCACCGTAGTGGTGCCTGCAGCCATGACTGTTACATCTCCTGGAATGCAAATCGGGTCTGGAATTATACTCAGGCTCTTGAACCGTGCAGGGGCCGAAGGAGCACAATTCTGCCATGAAAAGTTGCGTACCTGGTGGATTCAGAGAAGCAAAGCATTACAAGGACTGCATTACATTTGTCAGTAGAAGCATGCTGAGCTAGGAACAACTAGGAGACCAAGAACCCAGTTTTGCTCTTGACATGATGTTCAACAGATACAGAAGAGACTGTAGAAGATGTGAAGACAAAGGTCTGTGGGTTTTCATTCAAGACAAAGGTCTGTCAGTCTTCATTCTAGTGCAATTAGATTAAGGAATAGGGGACCAATTCCAAGCAATATCCTGTGAATCTTATGATTCTGTCTGAAATTGCTCCCAGCACAGAAAGCATGACATTTCCTCTCTCCACAGTAAGCAGGTAACTTCTTGGGGCAAATGTTTTTCTTTGTCTATGCTACTTCATAAAGAATCAGGATGATACTATAACATCAATGATCCCCTGAGGAAAATAGCCATTTCATATAACAAGTAAATATTTTGAGGATTTTTTAAAAGGACACCCCTGGTACAGAGAAGTAGATGAGTACCACTTCAGGTAAGCGAACTCCCAAATAACTGCTCCACAATAGATCTTCAGTTTAGCTTGTCTCAATGAGCTTAGATATTATGGAGCAGCAGTAGCACACTACCTTTTGTGAACTAAATCAAAGCATCATGACAACTAGAATTAAGCAGGTATACGAAGCTTGTCAGGTTCAAAGCAGGAACACCAGGACTTGCAAAGAGTCACCAAAGGTCCCTTAGATAAAGATGCCCTTTGGGCTCCATGCCTCATACCATGAAAACACTGTCATATAGACACAAATCACACTACCTGCCCAATTCATAGACACCTCCCCCAGGGGGTCAAGACCCCTAGAATTTGTTCCCCTAGTCACACACACACACACCCCGCAGCAACTCGAGGAAGACCAAAGACTGGAACATTCAGTGGGATGATGCACAGGGATGTAGACACTAAAGAGGCCAAAGGCAGGTAAACTGGAGTAATGTTAGCATATCTTTTAAAAAACCGAACTGCTTCTGTTCTGTTAGAAACAGCCAAATACACTGAAATGTATCACTTTAATCTTTTTTGTGTAACGCATCCCCTTGTCAGAATGAGGATCAGTATAAAAATGGCAGCCCCTGGCTAGACGAAGGAGATTGAGAAGGCAGCACGCTGGAAGTCAAGTGTCTGAACACAGTGAATGCCCTCCAACAATTCACAGATGAAAACAGGGACACATTCTTTTGTACTTCTTCTGTACTTTCCCTTCTCATACCAAAGATTACTGCTGGAGGGTCCTGCCCCATGACATACTGCTGAAGGCTCTTCTCTGCGTGCTGTGTCCTTTTTGACCCCACAGTACCTCATTTTTCACAAACATCTGGAACAGATGTTGTATTAGGACTGGGGAGTCCTGGGTTCAAATCCCTGCTCTTCCAAGAATGTACTGGAGGCCCCTGGGCCAGCCCCTGTACCCCATAGGGCATTCTAAGGATGAAATGGAGGGTAGAATCAGGCAAGGAGGAATGGTGTGTTGGCAATTTAACAGAAGTGTAAATAAGCAGTGACCTTTTACTGAATGTTTAGAAAAAGGTGAAAAACAGTCACCTTGGAAAGGGCTTTTGTTACTGATAAGTACTGTCAATAAGGAAATCAGATGCCTTTAATTCAGTTTTGTGATTTACATTGATAGCTTAGACTTTTTAAGAGCCAGTGGCAGACTCTAATCTGGAGAACCAGGTTTGATTTCCTACTGCTCCACATGAAGCCTGCTGGGTGACCTTGGGCCAGTCAAAGTTCTCTCAGATCTCTCTCAGCACCATCTAACAAAGTGCCTGTTGAGGGGCAGACTAAGGGAAGACAATCATAAGTGGCTTTGAGACTCCTTAAAGTGGAGAAAAGCAGGGTATAAAAACCTCCTATTCTTTTTAATCTATGAAACCTCTGAGGATCGTTTTGATGGTATTTCTGAAGCTAACTGGGCTTCAGTTATTGTAAATAATTTATATCCTGCTTCTTACCCTCTGGTGATTTACATGTTTAAAATATTAAGATTATTTAACAGAAATAATAGGCTTAACAGCAGATCTGGTTTTAATTATAGCAGGACAGCAATCAAACACATTCAGCACTGTTTATTACAGGTAGCTGTGGAAGGCAGTGGAAGGAAAGTTTTGACCCCCTAATTCCCCCCCCAAAAAAAAATGCATACCTAAAAGCACCTCAAGGACAAAAATAGGGATAGTGGTAGCATCTGGAAAGCTGGACAAAGGGGGAGAGGTCTGAAGAGAGACAGCTGAGGAGATAGAATTGTAACTATGGGAAAACGTCACACAGCCTAAGATAAGGAGACTGCATCCCGGTAATAGAAGGGTGGGCAGAGAGGCAGGAGTGCTGAGCAGACAGACCTGGCTGAGAGTCAGATATACTAAAAGAAGAGATACATGGTAGATGATGGCAAACTCCAAAAGGAAAAGTAAGGACCTGAGGAAATAGTGGGGGCTGGTAGGATCTATGGCACACACAGGCTATAATACATCAAATACATTTGACGCATTTGTTTTTGAGGGCTAGTTCACACTTCCATGTTAAACCTATATCTGCATTTCACCACTTTACATGATTCCTGGGCTCAAATGCTTTAATGCTCCTTTGTACAAAAAAAAAAGTTACACCTAGAAAACCTGATGTCAGGGAGTTCTTCCCACTGCTAGTTTTCTATGTGTAGGGATTTTCTTTACCTGAATGAACAGCAACACACAAATGCAGATGCAGAGTTACCACTTCAGTGAGAACTAGGTCTCAGTTTCCCTTCAGGTCATACTTAAATGCTTTCCTAGTTCAACAATCAAATGCAACTAATTCCCAAGCCCTTTCAAAGGAGGACTGTGTGATCAACTAGGAGCTGGGTCTCAGGCAAAATCTCACACAAGGCCCAAGAAACAGAAACAGCGGTGAGCAGATGGAAAAGAAAAATACAGACAGGAAAGGGAAGATGGAATTTTGCTAGGGCTCTTCCCTTTGAGATACATTCCCATGGTGCTCCTTGGAGTCTCACTGTTTCCCACCACTTCCAAAGGTTTTGTCCACAACTGCGCTAAGCACATTAATTTGTGTCCCCCTCATGGCATATTTAAGGCCACCTCAGGTGTCACAAGATTGCTATGCAGAAAGCACTTCCGATATAGTAGCTGGCGTACATCTGCATGTAGGTTGCCCTATAATTCTTACACAGGAAGTTTTTTGACATCTGTTACAAACCTGTGAAAGACTGGTTAGGCAGGGCAGTTTCCCTTAGCTACTAGTGAAATCTCTGCCAGGTCAGAGGAACTACTTGCACATTACCAAGAACCTCTTTTGACCTAAAAGCTCAGAACTACAATCTACAATCAGTTGCATAACAAAGTTCTCCAGGCCTCTGCATGCTGGTGTGGGGGTGTATAAATATAGTGCCACTCCTAAGGCACTTTATGGACCTCTGCATATCCCATTCTCTAGTAATCACATTGCTAAATTCCAAAGATAGTGAAGTTTGATACCATACATAAGAAAGGCACTTATTCTTGAGTATCAGGCATCTAATATTTAGCCATTAAGCCATTTATCACACGTTAGTAGCATAACTAACAACTGCCTTCAATGGACTTAAAAGGGGGGTAACTATTTCAGCTTGAACTGCAAGTGTCTATACAAACCAGAAAAAAATGCAAAGACTCCCTGGCCCTTTTTGGCAATAAGCATCCTTTCTGGCAGGTACACTGGAGATCAGATGAACATTCAGAAAGCTAACATTTAGGAGAATGTAAGAAAGGACTAAATACAGATTCCAACTGAAGAATTAAATACCACAATAGAGTATAACTTAGTGGCCTGTAGCACAGGAAATCCCCCAGTGCCAACAGTCTGAGTCTTAGGCAAGCCAGCAGGGCTCCATACAAGGTTTCAGTATTGACATGTATAAGAAATACTGAAGAATGTTGTAAGACATCCTGTGTGTGGAATTGAGCTTGCGTACCTTTTTCAAAAGCTAGGCCTGTTTGGCAGGACCTAAACATGAAACATGTTTTTATTACCCCTAGGTATCAATGAGTGCTGTGGCCAGGAACTTTCAAGTGTCACAAAAATAGCCCTGATAGTCCAGTGCAAAGACTCTGGGTTTTCAGATATAATCTAAGAGAAAAAGCAGTTGGGTATTATGTAGTTGACCGAGTTCACGCAAGATTTCTCTCAAACCAATCCATATGCCTTCTAGGCATGGTACAGAAGATATTAATTTCCAAAGGTTCAATTTCTGGTTATCTTGCTTTCTGCATGCAAAGAGGGCGGAGAAACACAGTCGTGGGAAGAACAGAAAGTCCAAGGTCCATTTCTTCCCACCACTCTCTCTTTTCACCTTCCTTCATGAAGAAGCTTTTTTACAAGGAGGAGGAGGAGATTGGATTTATACCCCCACCCTTCACTACCCGAAAGAGTCTCAGAGCGGCTTGTAGTTTTTTTTAGTATTTTTTAATCTCACCATTGGTTCCACTCTAACACTCATAATGCTACATCGGCTGTCCAACTTCACTGTCCCACCATAAACCAACTTAATTTTGCAACTAGCACAAGTATCAAATCTATTAGTCATTAAAGGATCACATTTCAAAGGAACTGACGTTCTTCCTATCAGCTTTCTTCACTGTACACTCCCATACCTGGTAACAGGGAATAGGGAATAGTAATAGGGAATAATAGGGAATACTATAGCATGAATTAACTTAAAGCTGGTCATCAGTGACACATACTTTCACTTAAGGTTTCTACCTCCCCAATGGCTGCCCTCCCCAGTTTCAATCTTCTTCTGATTTCTCCCTTTTGGTTGATGATGGAGCCAAGGAATAGAAAATCTTGAACAATTTCAAATCTTGAACAATTTACGTTTCTTCATAATCAACCTTAACATTGTGTAATTCTCCAGTAGTTGTTACTTTTGTCTTCTTGGTGTTCACTTGAATTTAGTAATGCAAATCTGTTTTTACATGGTCTTTAAACTCTATAAGTCACTCTCCTGCTTCATTCCATGCTCCAAGCCCAATTTTTCCAACGATATTTGATTCTGCTTTGTTTCCTACTTTTGTGTTCCAGTCACCTATGATTATCAGCACATCTTGTTTGATGATGAGTTAGGATCCATCAAAACAGGATGATAGGAATTCAGTTTATATACCACAATTAGTCTTAATTATGGCTTTGCATGACACAGGAATCCTAGCTTAACCATAGTTTGTTCCCTGGCACTGTTTTCATGCACAGGGATGCCTAGGCAGAACAAAGGCGTTTATTGAAGAAAATCAGGATTTCAGTATCATCTACATGCTGAACCCTGATTTCACAAACTCACTGCAATTAAAATAAAACCAGTATTGTCTTATGCCTGAAAACAGTTTTGGACTTGCAGAAATTCCAGTTCAAATCCCCATTATCTCCAAGTCTCTCTCTCTCAGGCTAAACAAACTCACTCTTTGGACTTCACAAAGTACGTTATTATAAGAGCATGTTCATAAAACAGCCCCTCTTTTGTCATTTCAACCTGGGTCAAACTGATTTTGGAGACTGCCATGGGAAGACTTGGCAAGAAGCTTCTTCATAGCCATCCAAAATGCATTACTGAAATTCTTCCAATACAAACAAACAGCTGAATGATCTACTGTATGTCAACCAGATTACAATCCTATGTGTCCCATACAACACTGGAACACTTTCTTTCTGCAGGTCTGCACAGTCCTTAATTAACTCTAGTCTACATATCTATTCATTTTACTATACTATAATTACACCACTAGTCTTACTAACTTCCAGCAGGAAAATCTGCTTAATAGCAGAGACAACCCACAACCCACAGAAATATTATTTTTCATTAATGATTAAAGCTAACTGTAATATTTTATTCTACACATGCAGAGATTCTTGTCTGAGGGAAGAATGCTGCCAAGAGCCCTCTGCACAGTTAGAACTCCTTATGGGAAAAAGTAATTGTAGGAGTTTTTCAGTAACTAACAAAAACTGACCTGTGCTGTTTTGCAATACACATTGGGCCTCTGAACTAAAAGCTTTACCACTTCAGATAAGCTATGACTGTATTTACTCAAATGCAAGACTAGCTGTTTTTTTCTAGGTATACCATAAAAAAGAGGGGGACCATTTAAAATCTGCATACAAATTCCAGTTATATCAATGACAATCCAATAATTAAAAATTGTGTATATTGTTGGGGGGGGTCATCTTACATTCAGGGTCCTCTTCCTTTAAAGTAAATACATTTAGTACAATACCAGCCACTCTACCTTAGTACTGCACTTTGGATTTTCTGTAATTATACCAAATTGATTTGTAGCAGAGACGACTATGTTATGATCAATTACACAAAAAGGGTTCACGTAGTGTTGGCCTGAAGCAGCAGAACAAAGGTTGAGTCCAGTGGCCAACATAGTAAGACCAACATAGGCCCCTGTCACACGGCGAAGTTGCCATGGGAGAGGCATGGATGGTGGGCAGATTATCCGGGCGCAATCACACCCCAACATCTGGGAAGTGGAGCGCACCCGTGGCTTACCGCCGACAATGTGAGTTAAAAAACTAGTACCTCCAAGGTACTAGTAAACGTTTGCCACGGGCTGCCGCACGGCATTCCCCTCTGGTCCCTCGTTTACCTGCCGGCGCTGAGGGAAGGACCCGTGGTGTGCCGCCGGCGCATCTGATCGCGTAATCGCGCATCAAACTGCGCCGGGGCAATTAGCCACGCCTCCCCCCCACGATATCCGGCCTGTGTGACCAGGGCCAAAGTTTTATTTAAGGTATATGCTTTCATGTGCATGCACACTTCTTCAGATACAATGAAATTGAAGTTACCAGCACATACACAAAGGGTGAGCAGTACATTAGCACACAACATAATGAAGAGGTTTTAAGAGATTCAAGGACCAAACAAGAATATCAAACTTAGTTTATATGGTTACCATTCGTTTGGGTTTATTTCTGGAGGAAATATGGTTACCATTTGTTTGGGTTTATTTCGGGAGGAAAACATAGTGAAGAAAATTAATATATCAAAACTGGAGATTGATGAGCAGGTGAATCCTTAACTGTGAAATGCTGAGAATCATTCACTGATACCCTGCTATTAAGTGTAATCTGACAGTGCAGTGTTGATTATGAAAACTGCCTTAGAAGCCTGAAATGGAACGGTATCTATCTACATGCAAAAATACATTTTAAACAGAAGGAAAATCAACTATTTTGACACTACTTGGAGGAAGCAATTATGTTATCTTGCCCCGAAAGTGGCTCATTTAGGACTGTGCAAAAATGTGCCAGACAACCGAATCTCTCTCATGGAAGAGTTCTCGTAATTCCATCCCTTCCCCAGACATCTGGCACTCGGGACCAGAGAGGCCGAACACCTGGAACTTACCCTGGTCAACCTGATGGGCCAGCCATTGTCTAAGGCGAACCGCTGGTGCTGCGGGCCTGCGAGAACCGACGGACACAGCTGCAGAGCGCACAGGGTCAGCGTGAGGAACACGGCTTGCATAACTCACGCTGCTCTGGAATGTTTTGGCTGAAGGAAAAAAAACGAGGAGGAAGAAGAAGCTGCGGAACGGATGGTCCAACAACAGCAAGAGCCGGCTGCTCGGGCTGCCTTTATAGCTGTTGGCGGCCGGAGATACGGAAATGACCCTTACTGCAGAAAGCTGCACGAGAGTAGAGCTCTGAGGTACCAAGCGATGCAGCAGGAACGTCAAGTTGTTTGCTCAATGCAGGCGCCGACATGTCCCCGCCCCTTGAGGCGCCAGCCACGCCGCTTCCTTCTACTCCGTTGCAGTGCCAACTCTTTTTGCTTTGACCATAGACGTAAAACGATTGAGGGCTTCGCCCAGCAGGTTCTGGTGGAGGGGAAGTGGCTCTGCCCTCTGCCGGAATGGGAGGCGCAACTCTCCAGGCCGCTTCAAACCCCCTCGACTGCCGTTGATTGCGGATTCGTTCCTGACGTGATGGTGAGCCCGCGTTCCAAGACGACGGAGTCCCCGATGATCAGACGAGTAAGGTTGTTGTAGAATCAGAGCAGTTGCCTCGTGTTCCAAACGGCACTTATCTTGTTCATTACTTTATAGGATTATAGATTCAGGTCAGGTGGGTCGCCGTGATGTTCTGAAGCAATGGAGCAAAGTTTGAGTCTAGTGGCACCTTTAAGACCAATAAAGTTTAATTCTGGGTGTAAGTTCCAGTGAACATGCTTACATTGAAGAACTGTGCACGGACACGAAAGCTTATACCCAGAATTAAATTTTGTTGGTGATTCTGAGGTGAACCCTGTTTCAATTTTTGTTTGTGTTAGAAGTATATTTTACAACGCGATTTAAAGGCTTCCAACAACGACATTTGAGCTTTATTGGTACTTGTGCAGAAGGTAAGGCACACGTTGCAATTATATCGTGTACGAATATATTGTAAATTATCAAAACCCATTATGCTGCAGACTTACTTCGTTAATTTTTTTTAATATGTTTTGATGTGGAGACCATTGGGCTCCTTCGTCACAGAGGATGTCCCCTAGAAAAACACTTCCCTCTCTTTTTAAGATATAAGAACATAAGAGAAGCCAAGGTTGGATCAGGCCAATGGCCCATCCAGTCCAACGCTCTTTCACACAGTGGCCAAAAATACCAGGTGCCATCAGGAGTTCCACCAGTGGGGCCAGGACACTAGAAGCCCTCCCACTGTTGCCCCCCCCCCAGCACCAAGAATACAGAGCATCACTTGCCCCAGACATTCTCAGGGAACCATCGGTGGCAACTAATTCAGGACTACCTAGCTTTGAGTCTTAGATCTCCCCTGGTTTTTTTGTTGTTCAGTCGCACAGTCGAGTCCGACTCTTCGCGACCCCATGGACCAGGTCACGCCAGGCCTTCCTGTCTTCCGCCGTCCTCTGAAGTTTGCTCAATTTCTCATTTTTGACCACGTCAAGCTTACCTTGATTCCAGGTTCTTATGCAGTTTGGTGTAGTGGTGTAGTGGAGAGCCAGTTTGGTGTAGTGGTTAAGTGTGCGGACTCTAATCTGAGAGAACCGGGTTTGATTCCCCACTCCTCCACTTGCACCTGCTGATGTGACCTTGGGTCAGTCACAAGCTCTGGCACAGCTGTCCTTGAAAAAGAGCAGTTTCTGCCAGAGCTCTCTCAGCCCCACCCACCTCACAGGGTGTCTGTTGTGGGGAGGGGAAGGGAAAGGAGTTTGTAAGCCACTCTGAGACTCCAAGTGAAGGGCGGGGTATAAATCCAATCTCTTCTTCTTCTATTGTTCTTTGCAGCATCGGACTTTCCTTTCACCATCAGACACATCCACAACTGAGCGTCCTTTCAGCTTTGGCCCAGCAGCTTCACTCTTACTGAGATCCTTTAACTCAGAGGTGTTGAACTCATTTGTTATGAGGGTCGGATCTCACATAAGTGAGACCTTGTTGGGCCAGGCCATGTGTGTCATAAAATGTAATGCCAGCTAGAGGAGAAATAAACTTTATAAAGGACATAGACAAACACAATGAAAGATTTTTTGAAAAAACGTTAAATAAAACATGCTTAAAACACTAGCATTCTTGCAATATTTTGTCTATTTAACAGTCTCTGATAACTGACACGTCTTGCTCTGAACTATTGCATCAAAATTTCTGTGCTGTAGCAATCTTGAGTATGCTGTTCAAGTGTGTATCTGTAACCTGCAAACTTACTTTTGATTTATTGACATTCATTACAGAAATCTCATGTTCATTGTAGAAATCTCTGGAAAACCAAGCTGGGCAATGTTGCCAGTATCAGATGAATATGAAATGAAGCAATTGTTTTGTAATAAGGGAATAAAAGTATGTTCTTGACTCTGAACCTTCTTAAAAGAGCATATAAGCTCTCCAGCCTTACATTGTGTTCATCTATAACTATCTGATAATCACACTTGTGTCAGTAAAAATCATAGTTAGTAGTCTTATCAGTAAGCAGAGCATTTCCCAGGGAGTCACTTGGGTGGTTCTGTGATTCTCTCCCTGAGAAAATGACTGTATTTGGAAAAGCCCTGACTTCAAGAGTTACTAAATTATACCACACCCTTTCAATGACTCAGCCAGCTTCTCAGCAAACACCTTTAAGTGCCACCACCCTTCTTTTATCATTATCTCCCATCCTTTCAAAGTTATTAGGAATCCTATTAAAAATGCTACAATTATTTGACTAACAGAGTCAAGCTGACTAGCCTTTGTCTTTGATTACTAGGGCATCCTAGCTCCAGAACAGAGCTAGCTCCAGAACAGAGCTAGCTCCAGAACAGAGCTGAAGGGTTTTCCAGTTCACAAACCAGATTTTTATTTTAAAAACTTGATGTTTCTGATAATGTTCAAACACCTATTTATACACTCAGGATCAATGCTCCCTCTAAGCTGTGGAGTCTTGTGCGCAAAAATTCTACTCTGTGAGCTACGGGCCTTAAAGCTGTGAGTGAGCGATTTGGCTGCTGCATAAGTTAGTTTGCTCTGGAGCCCTCCTTCCTGAGTGAAGACAAGAATGTGTGAACTGGAGGCTAAAAAACGGTGAGCTGGCTCACACTAACTCAGCTTAGAGGGAACACTGCTCAGGATACATTTACCACCAACATACCTTTAGTCCCTCATTTCACTTATTTCAGATGTGGCAGAACACGTAGCTTTCACTGGTGTAATTATTGTTGGGGGATTTAAGAGTCCAGGCGCTTTTCCTAGGAATCCCATCCCCACCCAGCTCGACTTGGGGGGGGGGGGGAAATTGGCAGAAACCCTATGGTTTGAGAGAGAGAGAGAGAGAGAGAGAGAGAGAGAGAGAGAGAGAAACCTGTTCCAAAGTTAAAACCATTTATTGAAAGAAAATCATACTGCACAAATTTTCAAACAAGTAGGAAATTTCAGTATTCATCTTTACAGAAGGGACCAGACAAACCGATGCTTAGAAACAAATAGTGCATTTATTATTCATTTAGAAATTATCTATTTAGGAATGCATTCTGGCCACTTTGGCAAGAACCACAGTGTCGGCAGAGGGCCCTTAGCATCTCAAACACTGGTGTTAAATACCTTTAGAATCCAGATTAGCTGTCAATCCAGAAATCGGATGGTCCTGATGAAACCCAGACCCCTCCCTTTTCTGACCAGAAGGCTCTGACCAGAATCATTGTATTACTAGGTTAAAAACACCCTCCCTGTCAAGGCAGGAGCTTGAAGCCACAGGTCCTCATATCTAGATGTTTTGGCTTCGAGGCTGCAACTCAGAAATGTAAACAGTTCTTTTAGACCAGAGTGCAGGGTGCATTATCATGCTAAAGAGCCTCCTCCAAAGTCTTATGGGAGAGAACCAAACAGAGATGCCTAAAGCCAGTTTGCTGTAGTGGTTAAGTTTGCAGACTCTAAATCTGGGAGAATCGGGTTTGATTCCCCACTTCTCCACTTAACAACTGCTGATGTGACCTTGGGTCAGTCACAAGCTCTGGCACAGCTGTTCCTGAAAGAGCAGTTTGTGTCAGAGTTCTCTCAGCCCCACCCACCTCACAGGGTGTCTGTTGTGGGGAGGGGAGGGGAAGGGAAAGGAGTTTGTAAGCCGCTTTGAGACTCCAAGTGAAGGGCGGGGTATAAATCCAATTTCTTCTTCTTCTTCTAAACTAATTCAGGCCACAGTACATAACTGCACCATCTCGCTTATAATTCTGCCACATTTATCTATGTGCTTTTTTGCCAAAAAAAAAACCCACACACATACACACACACGAGAAACTGAAATTATGCAAACTATATAATTTTCAATTTTAAGTTCATCCCCTGAGCAAGCCACACTACAAGCTATGCGATATTCGGTTTGTATGTCAGTATTAGTAACAGAAGTTGTAGAATACCATATCCAGATCACATAAATATCTGCTCCAGACTTTTAAGAAGCTTTTATTTCATAGGATTTTTCTGTATGCTTCTTATCTGATCTCTCTCCCTTCCTGGCATTCTTCCTAGTCCAATTTTGGTTTCTTCGACACAACAAAACTTGATAACATGTTGGGGGAGGGGGGAATAGCTCAGAATATTTTTCATTATTCAGAAGTAGCTTCCATTTTAAAAAAAAGTTGGAGTCATCCTACAGTAAAGGAATTGGGCCACTGCATTCTTAGCCAACTGCAATTTCCAAACACTCTTCACAGGTTCCCCCAAGCAACCACATTACAGTAATCCAAACAAGAAATTATCATGGCATGTATCACGAAGCTGAGAACTTTCTTACTCAAGAAAGCTTGTAGGGGGCACACCTAGTACTGTAAAAAGGCACACTTTGCTACCACAGAAGCCTAAATCAAGCAGAAGCCGTAGATCAAGGAGCACCCCAAGCTGTCAACCCAGTTCTTCAGGGGGTATGTAACGTCATCTATTTCTAACAAGTGGAAGTCTACAAAAAAAAAACAACTTCATAGTAATTGGTTTATTTGAAATTTAGCCCTTAACTCTCTGAACTCTTCTTCAACAGCACACATGCACCTGCTGAGGGACTGTGTTTGGTTTCCCCTTCCAATGATTGCCATAAGGAAATAAGGAAATCACCTTGAGGAACTGCAAGGTGTGCTGGAAATTCACTACCACACCCCTTAAGAGTATGCAGCCCTTTCTGCTGATAGTTCCTTTTTAGCCCTGTTCACACAATCAAAATCATGTACACTGTTCATGCATAGTTAGGAGCTGGATTACACCTGCTGACCCCTCCAAGAAATATCTGTAGTGAACCCCTCTGTGCATACAAACAGACATGCACAGCCTTCTCCATGTGA